CCCGCTTCGCCTCCGCGGAGGCACCAGCTGGGCGAGCGGCATCGCCAACGGCATCAGCAGCATGATCGTCACGTCGGCCGTCTGCAGCGTGCGCTTGCGTCGTCGGCCGCGCCGCGAACGCGGCGGCCGAGACTGCAGAGCGCGCCACTGCGGCGACCGTGCGGCGCGGCGCGCCGCCGTCCACAGCGCCGCGGACCGCCGCGCGCACCAGCAGCGCGAGGTCGTCGGCGGCCGTGCCAGCCCCTCTAGCCGCGCGCAGGCCAGCCATCCCGAGGCGGGAGGCCGAGGCGGCGCGGCATGCGAACGCTTGAGCCAAAATGGCTTGAGCCAAAATGGCTACGGAGGGATTGGAACCCCAGGAAAAGGACAATCTATAGGAACACACGTAAAACACCAAGGACTCGTGCCCCAGGAGAGGCTCAATATATAGGAGCATCAATAAAACATGTAGGCTCCCGTTGCCTTCCGAGGCCTCCTGGCGCTTCCTGTGGCCTCCTGGGGCCTCCTGTGGCTCCCTGAGGCCTTCTGGAGCTTCCTGGGGCCTCTTGGAGCCTCTTGGGACATCCTGTGGCCTCTTGAGTCTTTCTGTGGCCTCCTGATGCCTCCTGGGACCTCATGTGGTCTCCTGGGGCCTCCTGGAGCCTGTTGGAGCCTCCTGTGGCATCCTGAGGAGAATCTGCGCCCACGAGCCTGGCCACCCAAACAAGCAAACCGATCGAGACATCCTCAAAATCTGGCCCACCTGGGGGGTGACAATGAGCGCCTCGCTCGAGACATCCTCTAAATCTGTTCAGAAACAAAAAGATGTTGGGACAGAAAACAAGCAAACCGCTTGAGACATCCCCACAAAACGGCCGCGAACGGGACCGTGCAACACCCCTCGGCGGCTCCCCTTAGGACGTGAAACTGAGCGCCTCGCTCGAGACATCCTCCAAATCTGCTCCGGAAGCGAAGGATGTTGTGACAGAAAACAAGCAAACCGCTTGAGATGTCCCCACAAGACGGCCGCGAACGGGACCGTGCAACACCCCTCGGCGGCTCCCTTTAGGGACGTGAAAACGAGCGCCTCGCTCGAGACATCCTCCACATCTGCTCCGAAAGCGAAGGATGTTGGGACAGAAAACAGGCAGGCCGCTTGAGGCATCCCCACAAAAAGGCAGCGAACGGGGCATGCGTGAGTCTCAACATGAGTAAGTCTGAGTAGGAGTAGGTCTGAGTACGAATAGGTCTGAGTAGGAATAGTGTTGTGTGTGTGTGTGTGTGAGTAAATCTGGGCATGAGTAAGTCTGAGTGTGAGTCAACCTGTGTATGATTAAGTCTGGGTATAGGGAGGAGAAGGGAGGAGAAGGAGAAGAAGGAGGATAAGTCGGCGGCGTCCAAGAAGTAACAACAACCCCATCTTAGGATATGGGGAATAAAAAAAACCCCATCTTAGGATATGGGGAATAACAAAAACCCCTATCTGAGGATATGGGGAATACATTAGACAATGAAAAGGTCTGAGTACGAGCAGGTCTGAATATGAGTAAGTCTGGGAACAAGTCTGAGTATTAGTTTGACTGGGCAGGGATGCGTCTCAGCATGAGCAACTCTGAGTAGGAGTAGGTCTGAGTATGAGTAGGTTTGAATATGAATAAATTTGTGTCTGAACAAGTCTGGGTATAAGTAAATCTGAGTGTGAAAACGTCTGAATATGAGGAGGAGGAGGAGGAGAAAGAGAAGAGGGATACGAAGGAATAGGTTCCGTCCAAGTAACAACAAAAACCCCATCTTAGGATGTGGGGAAAAGCCAAACACACCCACATTCTTTCTCGCCAACATGTCCTCGAACTGCGAACAGTGTAACAGGAATGGGACGGAATGAACATCGTTCTGGTGACCTTAAGCGGGTGGTCGCGTCCTACCCATCACAAAAACAATAGAAAGTCGACGATTTTCTCGACAACATGGACTTTCTTGTCGTCGACGCTGCGAAAAGTGTAACAGGAAAGGGACGGAATTGACATCGCCTGGGTGACCCTAAGCGGGTGGTCGCGTCCTACCCATCAACAAGCAATACAAAGTCAACGTTTTTCTCGACAACATCGACTTTCTTGTCGTCGACGCTGCGAAAAATGTAGCAGGAATGGGACGCGGCGCACATCGCGCGCGGACGCCTGGCCAACCCTACGCGGGAACCCCCGTCCTACCTGCCAATAAACAATGCAACGTTGACGTTTTTTGCCATTCTCCTCGTCGGCGCTGCGAATCGCGTAGCGGGAATGGCACGCGGCGCGCATCGCGCGGGGACGCCTGCTCGTCAACATGGACTTTCTTGTCGTCGACGCTCCGGCCCGTCGGGTTGAGGAGCTGGGCGGGCGGCAAGTCATAATGCCTCAAGCAAGCGCGGTTCGCCGCACTTCGCGCGCCAGACATGGTGTCGCCGACGATGCAACATGAGAGGCCGGAGCGGGGCGCGGCGTACATCGCGCGCGGTCTTGTTTCTCGTCGACGTTGTTCAACACGCGGCAGGAATAGGACGCAGCTCATGTCGCACGCTGAACGTCTAGCCGCCCACGATATAAGATGAGCGACAGGCGTCGGACGCGACGCGCTTGCTTCTTATGTTGTGGGAGGGCGGGTGGGAGTGGACGGAACCTTGTGGCTCGCTCGAGCTGGCCAACTTGCCCCAACCCCCACCCCAACCCCTACCCCCATCCTTACTTCCTATGGTTCAACACCGCCACAACCCCACCTAGCCGGCCGATGACAACCCCGCCGTCCGAACTGTCAAAAAAACAACACCAACTCAACTTTTTTCTCGCCAGCATGTCGTCGAATTGCGAAAAATTCAACAGGAACGGGACGGAATGGACATCGCTGAGGTAACCCTAAGCGGGTGGTCGCGTCCTACGCATCAGAAAACAATACCAGATCAATGTTTTTTCCTCGTCAGCATGGACTTTCTTGTCGTCGACGCTGCGAACAATGTGGCAGGAATGGGACGCGGCGCACATCGCGCGCGGACGCCTGGCCAACCCTACGCGGGACCCCCCGCCCTACCTGTCAATAAACACCGCAACGTTGACGTTTTCTTGCCAGCATGTATTTTCTCTTCGTCGGCGCTGCGAACCGCGTAGCGGGAATGGGACGCGGCGCACATCGCGCGGGGATGCCTGCTCGTCAACATGGAAGGCCGGAGTGGGGCGCGGCGCACATGCGCGCGGTCTTGCTTCTCGCCGACGTTGCTCAACACGCGGCAGGAATAGGACGCAGCTCATGTCGCGCCCTGAACGTCTAGCCGCCCACGGTATAAGATGAGCGACAGGCGTCGGACGCGACGCACTTGCTTCTTATGTTGCGGGAGGGCAGGTGGGAGTGGACGGAGCCATCTGGCTCGTTCGAGCTGGCTAACTGACCCCACCCCAACCCCCATCCGCACTCCCGCCCCCCATCCCACAGCCACACCCACACCCACACCCACACCCACACCCACACCCACTCCCACCCCCACACACACACCCACACCGACACCCGCACTCGCACCCGCACCCGCACCCGCACCCACACCCGCGCCCGTACCCGTACCCGCACCCGCACGCACATGCACACGCACACGCACACACAGACACAACACACACACACACACACACACACACACACACGCACGCACGCACGCACGCGCGCATACACAGACTCACAAGACACGCGCAAACACACAGACGCATAAACATACAGACGCACCGACACACAGACACCCCGGCACACAGGCACATAGACGCGCAGACACGCAGACACGCAGACGCGCAGACACACGGACACATAGACACCCAGACACACACAGACACAGAGACACAGAGACACAGAGACACACAGACACACAGACACGCAAACACACAGACACACAGACACAAAGACACACAGACACACAGACACACAGACACACAGACACACAGACACACAGACGCACACACACACACACACGCACACGCACACACGCACACAGACACACACGCAAACACGCACACACGCACGCACGCACACACGCACACACACACACACACTCCCACACGCACAAGCGTACAACCGCACACACACACACACACACACACGCACACACGCACACACGCACACACATACACCCGCATACACACCCACACACACACACTTTTAAGCCAGCGGCGCAGAGGGTCCTCAAGCGCGGGCAGCAGATGGAAGTGCTACTTGCGATCGAACGCTGCCAAAGGCTCAGCCAGAAAGCGTCGCCCACTGCAACATGCAAGCGTTGGGTGTGTTAGAGGAACTTCTAAAACCAAACGATACATGCAGCGTCCAGAAAACGAGGATAATACTCAACTCAAACTAAACTGAAGCGCGACAGCCAGAAGGCACACACATACACACACACACACACGCACACGCGCACACACACACACACTCTCTCTCACCCACAGACTCACAAACAACACACAACACACACACTCACACACATTCACGCACTAATGCACTCACACACTCAAACACACACTCTCACACACACACGCACACACAACACACAACACACAACACACATCACACATCACAAACACACAATACACAACACACACACACACCCCTTAAAGAACGCACAGGCGCAGACACATATACAGACACACAGACACAAACACACACGCACACACACGCACACGCACACGCAAACGCACACACACACATACACACGCACACTAACACATCACACAACACACAACACAACACACAACACACAACACACAGCACACAACGCACACCATACAATACGCAACACACAACACACACACATTCCGGGAGTAGACAGAACCCCCTTTATCAAAACACCCGCCAGGAGACGACGATCCGGGACCCAACGCGGCGGCTGCAGGCCTGCACGCGTTGCGACCGCAAGACGCTGCCGAAAGAGGTCCATTCGCTCATCAACCTGGCAGGGTGGGAACTCTGCCGACCTCCGAACATTTGGCCGACGCGCGTCTTGAGGGCCACCGAGCCTCCACTGCAAGGCCCAGACGCAGGCGTCCTCGGCGGCACCCGCCTCGACCGCGGCGGCGGAGGCTCTCCAGGCGGCGTTGGTCGCACGGGCGCCTCCCGCCTCCACCTCGGCCGAGCCGTCGCTGCCCAGTGTGAGCGAGAGCGAGGACCGCTGGCCCGCCTGGAGGGCGCGGGTCAGCGTCTGGTCGGCCGTGTCGATGGCCTCGCAGGCGAAGCCCGCCAGAGGCACGCTGCCCGCGGGCGACGCGCTGCCGAAGCGCAGCAGCACCGAGGTGAGGCTCAGCGCCGCGGTGGAGGCCAGGGCGAACCACACCCGCACGCGGGCCTCGCCGCCGTGCCCTGGCCGCGGCAAGCCACCCTCCACCCAGCAGAGGGCGAACTCGGTGTGCTCGGACCGGAGGCGCAGGGTGCCCGACACGGACGCGGGCAAGCGCGCGCGCAGCGGCTCGGCAGCGGCGGTGAGCCCCGGGGTGCACGAGACGACCTCCGCGCCTGCATACAGCGCGGCGAGCCGGCACGCCACCTTGACGATGCCCAGGCTGACGTTCGCGGGCGCCGCGGACTCCAGCAGGGCTTGGATGCTGCGGTCTCCGCGGGCGTTCTGGCCCCTCCGCGGCGCCTGCAGCGGGGCCCCGGCCCTGTTTGCGAGGGTCACCACGTCCTTGTCCGTGACGCCATCGGGCAGCTGGTCTTCCCATCGCATGGCCCGCACCAGAAAGAGGGCCGCGCGGGCCATCGTCGACAAGGGGCGCGGGGAGGTGTGCGTGCCCTCGTGCACTTTCAGCAGGTCTGCGTCGCCGCCGCAGCAGCGCCGCAGCTCCTCCGAGTGCTTCGGCGAGATGAAGTCGTCCTTGTCCCCGTGCAGGAAGTAGACCGGCACGTGGCAGCTGGCCATGTGCTCGTGCGGGGCCACGTCGTAGATGTCGAAGCGCGCCTTCTTCTGGACCCTCCCGCGGACGACGCAGAGCACGCCGCAGAGCAGCGCCCACGGCAGTGGCACCCACTTTGCACAGAGCTCCCGGATGAGCGTCCCAAGGTCGCTGAAGGGGCTGTCCGCGACCACGCCGGCGATCATGGGGTCGCGCGCCGCGTGCATGAGCGCAGTGGAGGCGCCCATGGAGACGCCCCAGACGCCGATGCGAGTGAAGCCTCTCTGCTCTCGCAGGTGCTGGATGACGCACCTGAGGTCGTCGCGCTCGTAGTAGCCCAACGACGTGAACTCGCCACCGCTCATGCCGGATCCCGCGAAGTCGAAGCAGACGAGGGAGATGTTGAGCGGCAGGAGAATGGGTACCAGCTGGAAGCCGTTCAGACGGTTGCTGCCATGGCCGTGGCAGAACACCACGCATGCGCGCTCCTGCCCTGGAGGAGACTGGACGCTCGAGTCCAGACCCGCCCGCGGCTGAAAGATGGTGCACTCCAGAGTCATGCTCCTGTCATTAACCAGCTGGAAGTCGGTCCTCCGCACTGGCCAGCGGCCAACCTTGAATGATTCCGGGTACCTCCCGACGAGCTCAAGATTGGAGTACCGCATTCGGGGCGGCTTGATGATGAGGTCCCAGACCTCGGGCGAGCCCAGAATCGAATCTAGACATTGGATCGGCGATCGAACTGAATTGTATCGGCCGAGATCGGCAGCCAAGTCGGGAGAAGCCGAATCGGTGGAAATCGGCAAGCTTGTAAGGCAACCGCTGAGAAATCGAAACGCAAATTGGAAACCGAAGTCGAACCAAGTCGGAATCGGACTCGATCGAAATCGAACCGAATCGAGCCGGAGGAGTCGAAGCGATGTTCCGTGCCTGGAAAAGGTAGCCCGTCCAGACGACCTCGTCGGGCCCGTCCTCCGTCTCGCACTCGCTCGAGCTGCAGGGGCTGGCTGGTGCGCGGCAGGGGGCCGCGCCAGCAGCAGGACCGCTGGGCCTCGTGGCCGAGGCGGCTCGCGGCGCGCGAGGAGAGGCGCCATCGGCGACCAGGGCCTCGCAGCGCGTGGCCGAGGCGGCTCGCGGTGCGCGCGGAGCAGCTGCGCAGGCGGCGAGGGTCTCGCACCACTCGCGCGGCAGCGGGGCACTCGGACTCGCAGCGCCGCCAGAGTCGCAGCGGCTGGTGCCGCTGCTGCTGGCGCTGCCGGCGCCCCCGCTGCCGGCGCTCGCGCTCGAGGCCGTGGCGGCGCCTGGTGCGCGGTAGCATCCCTCGACACCGAGCGGAGCGCCTGCGACATCGGCCGGGTCGATGCGCACCCACTGCGGAGAGGCACTCATCGCGGCTGCAACGCCTGGCCACCTGCAGGACTCAATGGCGCAGAAGAAGCTGAGCCAAAGCTGGCTAGCCGTATGTCAAAATGGCCGCGGAGGAGCAGATCGTCCCTTCTCCCTCCTCCGTCCCACCTCTTTCCCTATCATGCCCTCCTCCCCCTCCTTGTCCTGCTCCCTTTCCCTCTCCTCTTCCCTCCCCCTCGTCCTTCCTCTCTCCCTCGTCCTCCTCCCTCCCTCTCTCTCTGTCTATCTCCTCCTCCTGCTCCTCCATCCCTCAGGCCCCTCCCCTCTCGTCCTTCACCCCTCGCTCCTTCTCTTGCCGCCTCGTCCGCTGGGACCGGCTCAGGGGGCGAAGCATGGACCTGGCATCGGCGATGCATCGCCGATCGCGGCGGTGAAAAAAACACAGCGGGGGTGAAAAAAAACGGGGGTGAAAAACTCTCGGTGGTACAAAAAAACCGGTGGTGGTAGGTTTTTTCCCCCCCAGGGTTTTTGTCCCCCCCGCGGTTTTTTCACCCCCGGGTCTTTTTTTCACCCCCGCGGGTTTTTTGTCAACACGGCGATCGACCCCCGACAGCGAAACTCCCCACGCTCTTGGGAGGGGTGGGCTGCGGGGTCCCTGTCGTCGATGAGTAGGCGGTCGGGGGTCGATGCGCTCCCCCCGGAGCCCATCCCCCCCCCCACGTTGTCTCGCGGATCTGCTGACCTGGGTCAGTCCAGACCCGGGTCAGTCAGGCCTTTCAGAATCCTGCAAGATCCTGCGCCCAAGCCTGGGTCAACGTGAAGGACCCTGCAAGATCCTGCAGGATCCTGCGCCCAAGCCCGGGTCAGTGCGGCCCTGGCCTCTCAGGATCCTGCAAGATCCGGCGCTCTGGCTGACCCCCGTCTGCACTGACCCCCGTCTCAAGGCTCCCGATTGCCCCTGAGCACACCCCCGCCGGCCCCCACCGTAGACGAGCCCGCCCAGCAGCGCCAGCGGCAGCCGCTGCATGGCTGCCGGAGCCGCTGCGCCGCCGCGCGCCTCCAGAGGCGGGGCCGGGCACGGGAGGCTTCGCTCTCTCCCCCCCTTGCGGAGGAGGAGAAGGAGGAGGGGGAGGTGGAGGAGGGGGAGGAAAAGGAGGAGGAGGAGGAGGAGAAGGAGGAGGAGGAGAAGGAGGAGGAGGGCTCCTTTCGATGAGTGCGGGACGCCACGCGCATGATCTGGAAAGGGCCAATCATAGCTAATCGCAAGATGCTGGACGAATCGACGACGACAATAGCCCGTACACTCTGTGGTCCGCCGGAGGCCCACCCCCGACCATAAGCGCCTCCTGCCTGGCCAGTTTGGCCCCCTCCAGGGGGGCAGACTTGAGCGGTGCTGTGAGGACGAAGTGATGGAGGAGAGGCAAGGGGGACATGACTCTCTGTGTACTTTCTCCTTCTCCGCTTCCTCCGCGTCGTCTCTGCCCCCCCCTCTCTCTCTCCTGCTATATTCCCCGCTCTCGCTCCCGGTGCGGCTCCTCGTCGTCCTGGCCTCCTGTCCCTTATCCCCATTGTCCTCCTTCTCCTCCTCCTCCTCCTCCTCCTCCTCCTCCTTCCCGCTTCTCCCCCCGCCCCCTCCCACGCTCCCTCCTCCTCCTCCTCCTCCTCCTCCTCCTCCTCCTCCTCCACCTCTTCTCTTCCTCCTCCTCCTCCATCTCCTCCTACTCCTTCTCCTTCTCCTCCCGTTACTGTAAGGTGGCCGCCAGAGAGTGAGACTGAAAGAGTTGCGAATCCCTGTCTTGGCCCTAAGCGATTCGCCAAGCTTCGTGAGCATAGACGTTGCAGTGAAAGATCAAACGAGTTGTTTTTACTGGCGCAAGCGTATAGGAATAGGAGACGTAGTATTATGGATCAGGGCCCAGGGGCACAAGATGGCACACCGACCAATGATGGGACCCCAGGCCACTCATCAGGACAAGTACCTCTTGGAGGCTTCGACGGGACCACGAGAGACCACCTACGACAAGAAGGGCCCGACTTACCAACAACAATATCCCAAGGATGTACCGAGGCTCCCAAGTGCCCCAACCTATGCCGGCATGGGGTCAATGGTTACAACCAGCTCCGACACCTGCACTATCATGAAGTGAGCAGAGATGAGGTCCCCACTCGTGAGCCGCATGTGCAGCCTTAGGCTCAACGACGGTCTACATTTGTTATTCCCGCTACTGCAGTACACGATTTGAGAGCATGGCGCAGCCTCCCTGTCCGCGTAACTTCTTTTGTCCGGGAACTCCTTGTCCTCAGCTTGAACCAACATGGTTGCGGCAACAAGACACAACGTTTCCTTGGGCACGGGGCTTATAGTTGCGGCAAGACCAAACAACACGTTACCTCGGGCATGTGGTCTAGATGCTGCTACACTGCTGCTACCACCGATGACTCCAATCATACCCTGACCAGATTACTACACGGACGAGCTCGGGATTGAAGAAGCCTGCGAGTGAAGGCGGGCGTCCCAGTAGATGCTACAATTGCTGCTGCGATCGTTGCTTGAAACCTCCCTAGCGACGAGAGCGCCGGCGCTGTCATCGGAACCCTCTCTTGACATCCATTTTCCCTTCGTGTCGCGTCCTCGATAAAATGGAGTTTTTTTTCCAGGCTGGAAGGTTACGACGACCTGTGTTACCAAGGAGAACGCAGACGGTTGCCGCTTTTGTTGCTTTCTTGTTCTGCTGTGCAGTGTTGTGCTCACGAGTGCTGCACCCCCCACCTCCTGGAGGGCCCCTCGCCTCCTGGAGGCCAGGCTGCCCTCCCACGCCATCTGGGAGGGAACCTGCCCCCCCTGCCCGCTCTGCGACTGGTCTGCCGAACGGTGTTCGGGCCTCGGCAGACCCATAAGGATGGAGGGGAAAAAGGAAGCTCCGTTCCTTCCCCGCGCCGCGACTACCGTGCCTCATCGCTTGTAGGCCACCCAGGCCTCGGGGAGCGCCCCACGCCTGGGTCGCCTAGGCAGGCCCAGCACAGAGACTTGGGCCTGCTCTGATCCCCCGCAGAGGCCACTGCAGTCTCACGGAGAGAGGCCACGACCTCCGAGCGCCCGCCATGCCATGCCTCGTCCTCCTCCTCCTTCTCCTCCTCGTCCTTCTCGCCTTCCACTTCTTCCTCCTCCTGCTCCTCGTCGAAGTCCTCCTCCTCCTCCTCCTCCTCCTCCTCCTTTTCGACGTTGGTCAACCCCGGAGTATCGGGGCTTGCAGCGTTCAGCCGCTGTGAGGAGGAAGGCAGCATGCACCCAACGCCACCGACTGAGGCGCGGTGGCCTCGCGGCCTCACGCGGGAGCTGGGCCCAAGACGGAGATGGATGGAAGGGCGGGGACTTGAGCAGCGACCGACAGTCCCGGCAGTCTTATAGGCCTGCCACGACATGATCTGAGACCCCCCAAAAGTGACCTGGGAGTCGGCCTCAGCCCGAGGCGAAAGGCTTCAACTCTTATCCTGTCCGTTCGGCGCTGTCGCTTCCGTTTACGACTGGGAACGTTTCGGGGCAGCTGTCAGATCGATTCTGGCAAACCTGTTCCTTGTTGTGCTTCTTCGGTTTGTGGACGACTTGTTCGGCGCGGACCTAGCGGCCGCGGGCGCGCCTTTTCTTGCAAACCCGGGCAGGCGCTAGCGAAGTTGCCCGTGAAGTTGTCGAAGACTTGCTTGGCTGGGAGCTCGATGCTTCGACAAGAGTGTCAGATCGCACCGTCGCGCCGATCTTGGGAGCGGATATTTCAATCGACTCGGCCAACCGGGATGTCCTGGTGGAAATCGGTCCTGCGAAGCTGGCCCAGTGGGAATCGCAGACCCAGTCGATTCTGAGGCGCGGCGTGCTGCACCCTGCAAAAGCCGAAAAGCTGGCCGGACGGCTCAGCTGGGGAGCGTCCGCTGTGGTTGGCAAGGCCGCGCGAGTGCATGTGGCACCACTTTTGAGACCGGCGTGTGGGGCATCCGCAATTCTGTCAGGGCGCGCAACGCGCTCGCTGCAGAAGTGGCTTCGCTTTCTCACGAGTGTGACGCAGCGCATTGTGCAGTGCCTTCGGCCCGCGGAGCGTCTCAAGTGTCTGGTTTATTCGGATTGGCAATTTGGCATGGGCCATTTGCTTGCCCAATTGGCATTCGTTTGCAGCGTCTGTTGTGCCCCGTGATGCTTGGCAGTGGGCGCGCTTTCGGAAAAATCAGGTCGCCACCTGGGAGCTTCTTGCCCGCATCTGCGCTTTGAGTTGGCTCCTGAGCCAGCAGTTGGGGGATGCGGAGGTCGTCCTTTTCGTAGACAATCGAACGGTTCTCGGCACTTTGTTGCGGGGTTCGTCCCGCCAGGCCGATTGGAACGATTTGATTGGCGATTTGTGGCTACGCGTGGCGCAAGCTAGGGTGTTTTTTCATGCTTTCTATGTGCCGAGCCACCTCAACGTGGCCGATGCGCCAACCAGGCCGCGAGAGAAAGCTGCATCGCTGGAGGCGATGCGGTCCCAAGGTTTCGCCGAAATGCCCTGGGGCGAGCCGCCAGACGCTCCGTGGCTGTCGGGAGCGCCTGCAGAAAACGGGGCGCCATCTGCATCGCTTGCGTCTGCGTCGTTCGGGCCAGGGATGCTGGCTAGCACGAGGCACCACATTTCCGTAGCCAGGCTGGCTCAAATGTCAGCTGCGATTGCTCAGAGCTGCGCCCGGGCCACGGCGGCGGCGGCCGCCAACGGAGGAGCGCCCGTCGAGGCCAGCGAGCCCGGCCAGGATGAAGCCGGGGTGCCGGCACGCTTGCTGGCGGCTGTTTCTGGGCTGCTTCGCCAGGCGGCGAGCGCACACCCCCGTGGACCGCCGCCGGAAAGTCCTTCTGCTGATCTGGCGCAGCTGGGAGCCGTGGGCCCCTTCGATTTCGGTGGCCTGGACGTCGAGAGTGCCCGGCTGGTTTGGGAACCGTTCGCAACCTGCCGTCCTGCATTTCTGTCGAGATTCTCAAAATTGGGCGACATCGAATGCAGCCGGGCCGCTCAGAGAGTGGCGGCGCC